AGGCAAATTATATCAAGGATGTATTATTTGTTACAACTTGTAAACTGTACCTAAGATTGAATTAAATGGTAAAAATTTCAAAATCAGTACAGTTATTGAGTCCGTTGCTGAGTTACTCATGTTCCGTTGCTAAGTTACTCATGTTATAAATCAAAGAGTGATGAAATCCAGGTATGATGTTTCATGTGAAACTTTTGTCATTGGAGCTACTTAAGTTTTTCCCATTGTTGGAATTCAGCACAGCGAGGGGTTTGGTTTTAATTGCTCATGGTGATATGAACAGCTCGTCATCTTTGATGTTATTTTACCATCTTCTGGATGAAGATTTTCTGGTTTTTTTTTGATCGGCACATAAGTGCATGTTTGAGAACGGATAACCAATGTAGGATGAAGCTTTAGTAGAGAAATAAGCTTTTCTTGGCCTGTAAGTATCAACCTTTAATTGAAAATGGTGCCGTCCAAACTCTTGTAGGAAACATGACAGGGGACTAGAGTCCTCAAGTCCTTTTTGCTGTTATGGTTTTAGTCTACATATTTGTTGTGCGCTGCATTTAGCTGGGTTTTTGGTTTATTAGAATTTCCGGGTTTTCTGGTGTTTTCAGTTCAGAGAGACAGCATCTTATACCATTGAAGCATATTTATGTCATCTTGTACTAGTAGATTTGTTTTTAGTCGTTCTCATGGACTCTTCTCGGCCTTCTCTGATCCTATGTTGTTGCAATTGCAGCACTGCCGGTTGCCAATTTGGTGAGAGCTGCCATTTCTTACACTATGTTCCTGGAGGTTACAATGCAGTGGCCCAGTTGATGAACCTCGCACCAGCTGTTCCACCAGCTTCGAGAAACATGGAATATACAGCTGCCACACCACAGGGATCTTCCTCTGTAGTCAAAACTCGCTTGTGCAACAAATTTAGTAGTCCCGAAGGTTGTAAGTATGGTGACAAATGTCATTTCGCACATGGAGAATGGGAACTTGGCAAGCCTATTGTTACATCTCATAATGACCCCCGTGCCATGGCACCTATTCCTGGTCGTATGGGCAGTTGGATGGAGCCATCACCCCCATCCGCTTCTGTACCTTCATTTGGTGCTTCAGCAACTGCAAAAATTAGTGTGGATGCTTCCCTTGCAGGAGCCATCATTGGGAAGGGTGGTGTGCACTCCAAGCAGATATGTCGTCAAACAGGAGCAAAACTTTCTATTCGGGAGCATGAGTCAGATCCAAGCCTTAGGAACATCGAGCTTGAAGGATCATTTGAACAAATACAAGAAGCCAGTTCAGTGGTTAGAGAATTAATCAGCAGCCTAGGTCCGGTGCCAGGTCCCGCCAAAACTTCTGGTGTGCAGGGTGGTCAAGGACATCCGAGAAGCAACTACAAGACCAAGTTGTGCGACAATTTTGCGAAGGGAAACTGCACTTTTGGAGAAAGATGTCACTTTGCACATGGTGCATCCGAGCTGCGGAAGTCGGTAATGTGAGGGCTTACTAGTGTGCATTCCAAGTAGTTGATAGCATGAGATACGCAGTCTTTTATGAGTTAGAACCTTGGTTAACATGCTAGCTGTTCAATACTGTCTGGTTGAAGTGATATGAGGTGAGTTTTTACTTTCTTTTTAGTCTGAACTTTTGTGTCAGGTTGCAATTTTCCCTTTTCCCTCAGTCGCTAATGTAATGTGGTTTTGTAAGCTTAGAGGAGTTAATAATTTTATCTTTTGGTCATTTTGTTACACATTGAGGTATTGGGGCCGTTTTCTTTTGCTAGACATGTTTGATAATTCCATTACATCATTAGTTTGTGGTTCTATATAGCTGTCTGAATGAATTGTCCAAAGAAAAAAATGCATCCTAATTCTGCCGTGTACATTCTGAAATAGTTTAGGGACCTATATCTACAAGACTTGGTTAACGTTGGTAATAATAACCATTTGTGCAATCTACCCATTAATTTGATTAATAATCTTTTATTCTTATAAGGCTTAATACTTCTCTTTTCCCATGTATTATGCACAAATAGGACTATTTATATTTTTTTAATGATACAAATTCACACACTACATTATTAATCTTATAGCTTGAACCATCAGTTTGGATTGAAAGGTAAACTTCTACTCTATTACTCGTTAAGTCAGATAAAATGTTCCAAATACTATTTTTAAAATTATCAATTACTAGAATTTTTAGTTAAACTAATTTATTTATTTTCAAATTTATCATGAATCAAACGAAAAAAAAATAACATGAAGTTATGGAATATTTAAATAAAAATGAATGTAGTAAGGGCAGTTGTTAAGTAGGTTTCAAATGCACGTTGGGTTGTGTGGGTAAGGTGAGGTGAGCCCAAACAACTTATAACGTCAACTACTGTTGCCCTCAAATCTCCTCTATGCATACTTATTTCGTGACTGAAATAATAATAATAATAATCACATCTAATTATAGAATTAAAAAAAGTACAAATTAATTCAATAAAAATTGACTATATATCATCACTTTTCTTAAAAAAATATAGAAACATTTAATTCTCATAATCTCAAATATTTTTAAAAAAACCCATAATTGTTCAATCATTATAATTTCATTTAATTAAAGCAGGTTTGGACTTTAGAGCATACATGTCTTTATTTTCTAATTTGTATTTGTAAGCTTTGAAATAAAATCCTATATCATTTTGAACATAATTATAAATTCATATTTTCATAAAGCAATATGATATATAAGAATAGTAATAAAGAGAGGGACATGGATCTTGAAATTCTTATTAATGATTTTTTTTTTATCATTGCCAAAGTTTGTAGCTAATAATTGATTTTGTTAGGGGCTGTTTGTTTGTCTCTTAATGGAATCATTCAGCGCTGAATGTTGAACCGTTCAGCATTCAGCGCGTTTGTTTCGCACCCCTGAATGATTCAGTGCTGACTGATTCAGCAAAACAGTGTTGAATGATTCAACGCAGAAGCACATTCTGAATGATTCAGAGTCATTATCAAATAGCATGTCACATTCAGAGCTAATTCATACAGAGAATCATTCAACATTTGAATCATTCAACGCTTAATCATTCTGAAGTAAACAAACATCCTCTTAGAAATTTAATTTTTTATTAAACTAATCATACTAACTGTTAATTATGTGCCCAAACTACCATACATTCTTAATATTTTTTTTGGTAAAGTTTGAAATTATTATTAACTTATCTCAAATGATTTTTTCAAATGCAAAATTTTTAAAAGTTATAAAATAGACATTAAGTTTTAGATTATATTATAAAATAGACACACGTTGTTAACTACAGTTAATTACTATTAAGGAGTGGTATGATACATTAAATTAATGTGTAATATCTTATTAAATCAATTTTTTATTAGTTAAATTTTTTATTTTTAAATATAATTTGTATGATATTGTTTAAATTTGTGTTATTTTTAGTTGTAATGAAAATTTTTATTAAAGCGTTATGATTTGTAAGAGAATTTTTTGAAATTATAATTTAAAATAAATTATGAATTTTTATACCTTTTAAAAATTGAATATTTTTTATTTAAAATTATTACTTAAAAATATCAACAAAAAATTTTGGTCAAATGAGATATTATCTATTGATTTTAATGCTCATTTTATAATTTTTAAAAATTCAATACCTAAAATTTTGCACTTTTTGAACTTCAACCATATATATATTTTGATTTTTTAAACGTTGACTTTGTTTTTAAATTGCTAAATTCCGTTTCAATTGCTTTGTTTAATTATTAATTAGGCCACAAAATCACAGCTCTGATTACTCGGTTAGCCCAGCTCGTCCTACTTGAATATACAACCCCAGTTTGACTTAAATAAAAAATATTTTTGAATCTATTCATTGCCTCCGTAAGGTGTCCGTGTTATTAATAATTAAATAAAATTATAAAAATATATTATCTTATAATCATATCAAATTAGTTTATCCAAAAAAAGTCATACCAGACTTTTAAAAATTATTTTTATATAAAATTAATTATAATATATAAAAATCATAAATATAATGACGTCATTATATAACAAACCAAGATGCCTTGGTTATTATTAACAAGTAGTACATGTGTTAGTCCTTGCTGAAGTTGGCCTACGCTCCATGTGCTGCTCTGTCGTTGCCTGAAGGTGTGGGATTCGTGACTTTAGTTTTAAGGAATATTTGCAGTCCAGCTTTTGGGTTTATGATTTCTCTTCCACCCATTTCTGTTTTGCATGCAAAAACTCCTCATATTATCAAGTATAAATGAGATTCAATTAACATTTAAAGAATCAAAAACAATTATCCAATGGCAGAACAAATATTTATTATTAACGTTAAATAATTTTAGGTGGTTATAAAATAATATCTATTTAAAATCTTTTTAAATTATTAATAACGTAAACACACAACAGTTCAAACTCTAAATCTATAGAAAAAATGACATTTATTTTTATCGTTAGAATCATTTGATGAGTTTTGTAATCTTAAATAACAGCTGTAATTTAAATATAGGAAAAGGGTGACATGGTTTTGATTCCACTCACGCGGGCGGATTCGTGTGTAAAGCGAGGTAGTAAGTAGGGGGAATGCTCACTTTATTACGAAACCCAGATTTTATTCATTTACCACTCATGCACTTTCATGACCAGATCAACTGCCCTGGTGGATTACATCTGTGTAATTACATTTAATTTTAAAAACTAAATAAATATACATATGAATACATTTGTTTAAAATCCAATAATCAAGTCAATTTTTTGTTTAAAAAAATAGGGAAGACGGTTTGGTTATTGCAAGCAGGATATAAAAAAAGCTTGTGTATAAATGTAGGGAATTAAAATTAATGCATAGATTAATAACAAGTAAATCCAATAATGGGAAATGGGGGAGCATTAGTTTAATGGATGTGTTCCATATGGAGAGACTCCAGTTGTTTGTCCCCAACTATCCCTCACTTTCTCTCCTTATATAAACTCCCCCCCCCCCATCCCCATGTCATTTCTCAACACAACCAGCTTTGTTTTTCCTTTCTTCTCAAAACATTTTTCCATGGAGAATTTGGTATTGAGGAACCAAACCAGCATGTCTCCTTCACCACTGTCCATTCATAAACATTCCCAAACAATATCCAAGTCAAAGCCAAAGATACGGATCATTCACGTATTTGCACCGGAGATCATCAAGACCGACGTTGCAAACTTCAGAGAATTGGTGCAAAGACTCACCGGTAAACCACCACAAGAAAAGGGTTGCCAAAGGAAACCCAGATTTCGCAAACAAGATGATAGTTTTCGTGACAAACCAGATATGGCGGCCGTCAAGAAGAAAATGGACCTCAGAACTGGGTTCCTCGCAGGCTTTGAAAGGGTCAAGGAAGAAGAAGAAGGGATTTGGAGTATTAGTGGAGAGAATTCAGGTGGTTTCTTGAGTGGTTTTAGAGACTTGGATGGTTTGATTCAAGAGCTTGGTGAGCAATTTCCTTTGCTTCCTTTGGATGCTTCTCATCACACGCATGGATTTGAAGAAGCTCAACTAATTACATAAATTCGAATATATAATTTTTACTTATGGCTTTGTATGTTTGATCTTTAAAGATTTTGTTTTTGGATTGGAGTCTTTAGATATAATTTTACTCAATATCACCATGCATCTTCTTCTTACTTATTGTCTCTGTAAATATAAGAGATTAACTTAATTTCATCTTTATGCCCATTTTTAATTTGGATGGAATAGAAATCAACATTTCATTCCAAAACTTGGTTTCTGTCTTTTTCATTTCTAAATTCAATTCAACTTTTAATTAAGGATTTCTTCTTCTTCTTCTTCTTCTTCTTCTTCTTCTTCTTCTTCTTCTTCTTCTTCTTCTTACCTTTGGGAGAAAACTAGCAGTTCGGCAGACCAAACATGAACTCCAAAAAACATGTTATTTGATTGGATAATTGAATGGCTTACTTTTCTTACAAGGCTGTCTTTAATTTTACAAATTTACTGCTAATAAGATGACAGCTGATTTTATCCCTTCAAGTCACCTCATAAGCACCCCAAATTTGACAAAACCCTAATAGTTTTTTATTTGATTTTTTCAAATATAAAATGTTTACCTTATGAATGCATGTTTCACCCTTTTAAACCATTTTAATGTCAACTTCTATATTATTTTTAAAATTGCCTTTTTAACAAAAAAATACTAAAAATGATAAAGAATGAGATTAAATAAATAGTTTTTAGAATGAAAATAGTTTCAAATCATTTTTTCTAAAAATAAATTTATTCTCTAGTATTTAACTTTTGTCTTTTTATAGTAATACTAAATACTTAAAATCAACACTCTTTAAAATATTTATAAAAAAACATTTTTGAATTCGATAAGAATAGAGAAGTGACCCTGACGCTATATAATAAAGGTAGGAATGTGATAGGAAGAAGGTTGATAAACTTCTAACCTTATGTATGTGCAAAAGGGCACTCCAATTAGTCAATTTCAAACACGAGGATTAATTTTCCCAATAATTAATCCAACACTTGTAAGGAGGTAAATAATGATCATTGAAATAAATTATTTTTTTCAAATATATAATTGAAATTATTTTTTTCATTAGCAAATAATTAGATGTTTTTAATTTATTTGAACTTGTAATACAACATATATATGAATTATGAATCATGAAATATGAAGATTAAATTTTAAAAAAATATATAAATTATATAATTTTTTGTAGAAGTTACAAAGACAATCGTAATTGGAATTACAACAACTATTAATCATAATCAACAATACATAATTAGATTGATAGTTGAAATATATATATATATATATATGGATAAGGTCTACACATGACAAATTAAAATAAATCTAAAAGAAATTCACACATGGGGCTTAAATTAAAGATCTCAACTTTCTAAGCCTCAACTTGCCATTAAACCAATATCTCATTTAAACATATATAAAATTAATTTAGTTTTACATCAATGTAACTGAATCCTTTTTATTTTTATAAATACAAATGGATGATAAAATTGTAAACTTCTGCGTAATTTTTTCAACAAGAGAAGATTTCTTTAATAGTCTAGAGTGATGACAAGATAATATCTATGTATAATTTTCTTAATCAATTAATAATGCATATATATCCTACAGACACAACTTCTCGAACTTAATACCTTAAAAAAATAACACTCCCTCCTACTATTAAGACTACTTGATGGGTTAAAAAAAGATTTTCTTAAAAGATAGAAATGAGTAAGGATACTAGAATATGATGGATTTAGGATTGTATTGAAATTTCATATATAAAAGAAAAGCCTTGGAGGCAAATGGTAGCATTAATTTATGACTTTAGCCACATTATGTTTAAGTCAACAATTTTGGTAAACTTTATAAGCAATTTGCAATTAATTAATATTATAATTGTACTTAATCTGGCCGGTATTATATATTACAACCGACTAGGTTTGGGTATTATAAGACAATTGGATACTAGCAGGATGACATTTGATGTCTGAACCACCCTCATTTATACGTGTATTTTTACAAATTATATACTTTTATCGAGTGAACTATATGAGAAAATGAAACGTTATTTTTTATAAAAAAATTATATGAGCAGTTGTATATGTAGGGTGTAAATACATCTAATATATTAAGAAAAATCTGAATATATATTATTTTATAATCACTTCATACTAATAAAAAAATTACGGTCTTACTTTTATTAATATTATATAGTTGGTGTCTCTCTCTTTTATTTATTTTCTGTTAGTTAATTGTATTAAACATATAACAATTGGAGCGTTGACAAATCATTTTCTAAGTTAACTATTATGTTTATATCAAGAACAAGAAGGTTAGGGTATTATAATTATTAATTTTATATAAGAGGAAAAATAATTATTAGGGTATTTTTATGACATTTGGCGATTATGTAATCAGGGTCGATGGAAATTAATGGAGAATAAGTACAAATTGTGGTGAAACTAAGATTAAATTTCTTTAAAAATGACATATACAATGATTTTAGGGTTATCATTTGATATATTATAAGTAAATAATAATAATAATAATAATAATAATAATAATAATAATAATAATAATAATTCACGAGAAAAATTTAGATGATGTAAAGTTAAATTTTTTAATAGTCTCGGATGATTATAAAGTAATATTTGTTCAAAATTTTCTTATTATTAACAGTGCATATACATTCAGATGTAATTGTTCATATCCGAAACCTTTAGGAAGAACAAACATTTTCTTTTACCATTGAAATTGATGTCAAGCATATTTTAAATATATTTAAAATTAGAAAAATAAACAATGAGATATTTTTTCGGTTGTCCTTCCGGTTCCAAGGCTTCGCTTTGACTAATCCGGACTGACCCGCATTGCACACATGACTTTTGTGGGTGAGTCTCCTAACAGGGATTTTCTGCATACACAAGAACTCGAACTCGAGACCTTGCTTAAGCGATATCAAGTTGCTTACCACTTGAACTTACCTAAATATTATTTGTGGAATTGTTTTTTTATTAACGGTATATTAAATAATAGATTAAATTTAAATATAAGTTGATTGTTTAGAATTAAAAACAATAAAGTACTTTCATATTCGAATGTATTTGTAATTTATTTAATAAATTTATTTTTTTAAATATTATTTATCTTTTGATTGCCAGATATTTCTGCCTTTAAGACTTTGAGATTTGGGATTAAAGAATTTCTACTTTCTTATAAAGATAAGTAAAAGGAGGTTCACGTTTTGTATTAAAAATTAATGCAATTGTTTTATTAGTTTTTATGTTTCAACTTCAGATTACAAGCAATACTTTGTATCAAATAGTTATAGAAATGCAAGCAGTGTATATTAAAATACAACAAGTATTTATTAAAATCGCTTTTTATAAATATTAAATAAATAATTTGATAAATCAACAATCAATTTATTTTAAATTAACTAATATCTTAGATAAAATAAAACTCATTAAAATTATTTTTTATTAAATTTATCAGGATCTCAATAGCAATAATTCTATTAATGAATATAAAAGGCTGCGCGAGGCTCCATAGCTTTTTGTTTTTGTTTTTTTATTAGTTTTCATAAATTGTGTATGAACTACATCATACTTGATTAATTGTATTTGTATCTAGAACATATTAATTATATTAATGTATCATTTTCCCCCTTATCACGTTATCAAATTTATAACAAATAAATAAACATATCAAGTGAATTCGGTGACTATACAGAGTATTAAATTTTTAAAGGCCTTAGATTTAAACATAACATAAATCTCTCTTCGTTCAGGCCTGTCCATTTACATGTGTGGCTTGTGACACGTCACAAAGCCTCAAAATTTGAGAGTTCCACACATGAATATCATTTAGGATCGTCTATGTATAATCTTTGTTCCCTAATGACATTTTCGTTTGAAAGGAAAACAAACTTTCTGTTTGGTTCTCGAGAAAATGACAAAAAAAAGTTGTAAACGAAGATTTTGACATCATCTTTAATCGTTTTCCATGATGAAATTTGGTAAAAAAAACCTCGTAGATCCCACATAATTTAAAATTTAATAAATTAGACCTTATTAAAAAAATATTTTAGGAGTCTCATTTTAAACATCATTTAAGACGGACCTGTGTGTTTGTCAATGATTAATTTTTTTTGAACAAATATTACCTTACATTCTCTTTATACTATTAAAAATAAACAACATTCAACACGAGACTATCCTAATTTATAAATATAATATAAAATTAATTTAGGATGTGGAATTTAATTATATAATAAAACTTAAATATGATAAGTTATATATAATCTAACTATAGAGTACTTGAAAATTAATTAAAATATAATACAAATATTCGTAATTAAAAAAACATAAGTTATTGAGACTTGAACCAACAATACCATATATATACTCAAAACTAATCATTAGTAAAACAAGCATGTAGGGATGGCAAACGGGTACAGTTTCGTGGATTCCGCACCGCACCCGCTCCAATTGGGGCGGGGATGGGTATAATTTTAGCGGGTAGTGGGCGGGTGTGGATTTAGAAAGTGATACCCGTCGCGGGTAGTGGGCGGGTAATGGGTTTGAGTCATTATGAATTTAGGTGTAATTTTAGAGACTAATTTATAAATTATAATATTGTATAAGATATAACATGTAATTTAACCAAATATTGTTATTAGGAATATTGTTTGTGCCACAAGAAGTATTTGATATCATTGAGTTGATTGTACCTGTCAAAACTTATTCTGAAATTATGAATTGTGAATTAGCAAGATACCATATGTTTGGTGTAGATAAACTTATTCTGGAATTTTACCTGTCAAACCTCTTCATTGAGTATGAACCATTATATACACTCAAAGCTGAAAAGATTTCCAGAGGGTCTCAAGCATAGCACGAATGTATTTTATTGACCGCACCTGTGAACGTGATGAAGACATTAATAATTTCATCAAATTTATGACTCTGGTTGGAATGACTGTAAATATAAATTCATCTTTACATATCATTGCTTTTCATAAAAGCCAAAACCCGAAACCTCTTCCGTAAAAA